TCTGTGTGTGTGTGTGTGTGTGTGTGTGTGTGTGTGTGTGTAACTCTGATTTTCAAATAAATAAACCTTTTTTTGTAAAAAAAAAAAAAAAAAAAAGGTATTTAATCTGCAATAAAAACTCCAGGCCAAGATGTTGTCACTGATGAATTATGTAAGAAATAACATCTAAGCAAGAAATAACACCACTCTTGTGTAACTCTCCTGGATGTTCTACTTCCAATTCAGCTTCCTGATAACGTGCCTGGGAAGGTAGAAGATGGCTGGACTGCTTTGGGTTCCTGCCACTCCTGTGGGATTCCAGGATGAAGTTCCTGGCTCCTGGCTTTGGCCTGGCCCAGATCCAACTGTTGAGGCCAGTTAGGGAGTGAACCAGTAGTCAGAAGAACTCCCCCTCTGCCTTTCCAATAATTAAAAAATATTTTAAGATTTATTTATTTATTTGAAAGTCAGAGTTAGAGAGAGATATGGAGAAACAGAGAGAGAGAATGAGAGAGGGAGAGGGAGACAGATCTTCCATCAGCTGGTTCACACACTAAATGTCCACAGCAGCTAGGGCTGGGCCAGGCTGAAGCCAGGAGCCATTAAAACATTTTTAAAAATAAAGCACCTGGACCATTTTCCATTGCTTTCTCAGGTGCATTTAGCAGGGAGCTGTATAAGAGGAGGAGCAGCCAGGACTTAAACTGGCACACTTTAACCAAATGACCATGGTTAACATCACTAGTAATTCATATAAAACATAATGTGCTCCCTGACGTGACATCTTGAAAATGCATAACCTCAATCTAATCTTGAAATAGTATCAAGGCAAAGTAAAAGTGAAGGATTTTCTCCAAAATAACTGATCAGCATTACCTAAAGTGTATTGGTTATAAAAGACAAGGAGAAACAGAAACTGTCACAGATCAGAAGAGACAAAAGAGAATGGAAACTAAAATCAAAGGATGGATCTGAAACAGAAATGGTTCATTTGTAGAAAAAAAAACACCTGGTGAAATTACAAATCAGTCTATATTTCAGTTACAGTTTGTTTTTTAAATCTGAAAGTAAGAGTGACAGAGAAGGGGACAGAGGGAGAGGGAAAGACAGATATCTTCCATCCACTGCTTCACTCCCCAAATGCCTGCAATAGCCAGGGTTGGGTCAGGACAAAAGCCAGGAGTCAGGAAATCCATCTGGGTCTACCACATACATGGGCAGCAGGAACCCAAGTACTTGGGTCATCATCCACTGTTTTCCCAGGTGTATCAGCAGAGAGCTGAGTGAGAAGAGTGGCCAGAATTCCAAGCGGTACTCTGATATGGGATGTCAGCATTACAAGTGGTGGCTTAACCCATTGCACCACACCAACCCCTATTAACAGTTTATATCAAGAATAACTTACTAGTTTTTAAAGTATATTATAGTTATGGTATTTACAGTAAGATGTTGACAGAAGGGAATCTTCAGTAAAGGGAATATGGGTCACTCTACACTATTCTCTTTGTGATCTCTACCCTCCCAGTATTCTTCCCTTGTGTAACTTCAAGCCTTGAGTATGAGTTGCATATAGAGATTTATTTCTAGTGAAGAGACTGCAGCCAAGATAATGAGATGTCACTTTCAAGGTTAGGTTGCAAGAACAACTGTGGCTTTGTCTTCGGCACCCTCTCTTGCTCACTCTTTGGAAAGCTTAGATGTCATTTTATGAGTTGCCTTATACTAGCAATAGACAATGTCTGGGCACATGAGTAACTCTGGAAGTACATCCTCTAAGCTGAGTCCTGAGATGAGACCACATTTACAGCCAATACCTAGTTTGTAACCTTGTGAGAGAACCTGAACCAGAAACACTCAGCTAAGCTACCATGAATTTCTGACCTATGAAACTTTGGGAATGTTTATTACTTTAAGGGGCTACATTTCAGAGTGATATGTTACACAGCTACATACAACTTACACAGAACTTCTTTGTACTATTTCTGCAACTGTTCTGTAAGTCTATAATTAATCCAAAAAATTTTTTAAAAGTTTAAAAATATTCTATACATCATCCTACTTACATATATGGTTTATGCACACATATAAGTATGCATGGTTTTAAAAAAATTTTATACAAAAATCAACAATCTTTTTGAAATGACCTTTCTGAACTTTTTGAATGTATGTAGGCGTATGTGTATATAGGTTGAATTACCTATGGCCTCTGTAGTCAAACTTAGGTTCAAATGCCAGCTCTAACACAATAGCCATGGGACCTTAGGCAAAACATTTAATTTCTCTGTCAGGTTTTAAAAACTGCAAATTGGAGCCAACATTATGGCATTATGCCACTGCCTGCAATGCTGGCATCCCATATTGGAGTGCTGACTCCACTGCTTTAGATCCACCTCCCTGGGAAGGCAGTGAATGATGGTCCTACTACCCACCTGGGAGACCCAGAAGGAGTTCCTGGCTCGTGTTTTAGTCTGGCCTAGTACTGATCAGTGCAGGCATTTGGGGAGTGAACCAGCAGATGGAAGATCTCTGTCTCTCTCTGACTTTCAAATAAACGTTTAAAAAACAATATACAAATTGAGGTAATACTATCCATTCTGATGACTATACTAGGCATAAAATGATATAAGCATTCACTACAATGCCTAGCATTTAGTACCTTCTGAACAAATGGCACTATCATTACTTAATATTTACAATCACCTCTTATTTTCTTCTCATTCACAAATTTATCTGATTTTGAAGGAACTCAGTGCTAATAACTTAGCATTTAAACTTTGAAGAGTTTAAATATTATATAGAAATTTTTCAATCTTTTACTTTCTAAATATTTTTAAGACAGTATTAGCACTGATCTCCATATTGCCCTAATATTTATAACACAGAAACCAGATATAGACCTTGTTTTTCTCATCCCAATCCAATTCTCAATCACTAAGCTTTATAGCTATAAGGGATCTTTCCCAACTTTCCTTCCACCATTTCCCTCATATTAGCGCCAAATACATTATCATGGCTGGAAGAAGAGTTGGATGCCATTTGCAAGATCCCTGGAGACAGTACTGTGTAGGGAAGCAAAAAGTTCTTGCTGGGGCCGGCGCTGTAGTGTAGCGGGTAAAGCCGCTGCCTGCAGTGCTGGCATCCCGCATGATCACCGGTTTGAGTCCTGATTGTTCTACTTCCTATCTAGCTCTCTGCTATGGCCTGGGAAAGCAGTGGAAGATGGCCCAAGTCCTTGGGCCCCTGCATCTGTGTGGAGACCCAGAGGAAGCTCCTGGCTCCCGGCTTTAGATAGACACAGCTCTGGCCATTGTGGCCAATTGGGGAGTGAACCAGCGGATGAAGACCTCTCTTTCTTTGCCTCTCCTCTCTCTGCTGTGTAACTCTGACTTTCAAATAAAATAAATAAATCTTGCTTTGGGGGCCTGTGCTGTGACCAAGTAGGCTAAATCTATGCCTGCAGCACTGGCATCCCAAATGGCCCCTGGTTATGTTCTAGCTGCTCCTCTTCCGATTGAGCTCTCTGCGTATGGCTTGGGAAAGCAGAAGACAGCCCAAGTGCTTGGGTCCCTGCACCAGTGAGGGAAACCAGAAGAAGCTCCTGGCTCCTTGCTTTGGATCGGCCCAGCTCCAGCTGTTGCGGCCATATGGGGAGTGAACCAGCAGGTAAAAGACCTTTCTGTCTCTCCATCTGTCTGTCCGTAGGTCTACCTCTCAAATAAATAAATATTTTTTAAAAAGTTTTTGCTTTGACTAAACAGGCTGTATTTGAATTTCCATTCTGCTTATAATCAATATCATTTGACATAAGTAACAACTGTGTCTCAGTTAACCAGTGAGTAAAATGAAACATCATCAGTTATTTAATAGGGTTGTCATGAGGACTAAAAGAGGCAGTCCCTTGTATCCACGTATGATCGCCATATGTGGATACTGAATAAACAATTTTTTTCCTCCTTCCTTTGCAAGCCCAGCGCTCTCCATTATGGTATGATGCCTTCTCGACTATAAGGTGAGAACATTTAACATAATTTTGTTTAGCTACATTAAATTCATTAAAGTAAAACTGAATCAGTGACAAAATTCTAAAATTAGGCTACATAATACAGGTCCAATATAAATATTAACAATATAATTTGTTTATCCCTGAGTTGAGTTTACTTTTCTACAATATACTTATTGTATCAGAGAGCACATTACATTGTTCATTATTATTACTGGTGATACTGACTTTAATCACCTGACTAAACTAGTATCATCTGCCAGGATTATCAACTGAAAAGTCTTTTTTCTTTGTAAATACTAAATATTTGAAGGAAATCATGAAATGGAACCAGAAAGGGAGAGGAGAGAAGTAGAGGGAGGAGGAGGAAAATGGGAGAGGGGAAGACAGAGCCACACATTTGTGTAACCTTCCAAAGGAAATTTTTAGCATATCTCCAATCCAGGAAATAAGGAATTAATTAATTGTATCCTTGGTATCCTTGGATGATCAAAGATTCTTCTCAGTACTTCCTTTTTTTTTTTTTTTTAGAAACACTCCATGTGGGACCGGCATTATAGTGTAGCAGGTTAAGCTGTTCTCTGCAATGCCAGCATCCCGTATGGGAGCCAGTTCATGTCCTGGCTGCTCCATTTCTGATACAGCTCCCTGCAAATGTGCCTGGGAAAGCAGCAGAAGATGGTCCAAATGCTTGAGCACTTGCACCCATGTGGGAGACCTGACAAAGGTTCCAGCTCTGGCTGTTGCAGCCATCACAAAACAAATAAAAACATTTGATGTCAAGAAGGATTTTCCAAATGCAATTCTTTGCCAAAAGCTGTTGTAAGGTTAAATATATTACCTTCACATGTTCTGTTATTTACATATTTATTTCTTGAAAGATTTCTAGCAGTTTAGTCAGATATATCATCCCCTAAAAGAAATCACAATGCCTTTCTCCCAAGAACTTACATTTGATTAAGTATTTTAAACCTTTTATCACAAATTCCATCAGCTTGCTTGTAATCACAATGAGACTCACCGATCTGCAGATACTGGAGTCCCCTCTGGACTGGAATATGCTTCCAAATCTGAAATGTTCACTTGTATTTGCCTTGAGGTTACTAACTGGCTATTCTGAGAAGGCATGGTTTTCAACTTCTGAGTAATAGTACTACTATCTGGAAGAGGAGACTGTATGACTTGGAAGTCCAATGGAGAAATAGGTCCTAGAAAATCTAAACATTCTTGATTCTGTGCTACAGGTTTACAGGTCAGTAATTTGGAGGTTGGTTCCAATGATCTTGAAGACAGAGTTTGTAGGTCAGAGTCAAACTCACTATTCATCCTTGTTTTACATGCAGGATCCAATGAATGAAATCGCTTATCTAATGCTCCACTTTCCAACGTGGAAGGAGTCTTGGGACAAAGAGTTATACGAACACAAGAAAGTGCTTTTCTATTTGAAGGTGGAGTAGATGCAGATGTTGCTAATGTACAGTGATCTGGAACCAACTGGGAGACCACATTAGTGAACTTGGCTTCAACATTTATATTAGAAATGTATGAAATAGGCTTAAGTTGATTATCCTTTTCCACTACACAATCCTGACCTTGAGAAAGGGGGAAATGGTGTTTTCTCATGTGGTCATCTATACATGGGGCTTTGCTTTGACGTTGTTCAAGAAAAATGGGAGAAGGAAGGTCTGAAGCTATACATTCCTGACCTTGAGGAAAGAGAGAATGGCTTTCTCTCAATGGATGATCTATATATGGGGATTTGCACCGTTCAAAGAGTTCTCGTTGTTCAAGAAAAATGGAAGAAGGAATGTCTGGAGAAGGGGGAGAATGGTGTTTTCTCACATGGTGATCTGCATGTGGGGTTTTGCTTTGTTCAAAGAGCTCTCGTTGTTCAAGAAAAATGTGCGAAGGAAGATCTGGAATTATAGTTACATTCTTCTCAATTCCTACTGTGGAACTTGGTCTGTCCATGCTAATGAGGGTCTGATTATCAGAAAACTGGATTTCCTTGTAATTACTACAACTTGCACTGGTACTGGGCTCAGAAAAACTGACTTTAAAATCTGATCTTTCTATGAGTTTTTCTTCTTGGTGAGAATGCTCAAGATTTACAGGTAATTTTTGGCTTTGCCTACTACCCTCTGCTAAAATAGTCACAGTTTTATTTGGTAAATGACTAGGTTTTTTAAATGATGAAGGGGCAGAAGCTTTCTGTATTAGATCTCTGGGAGGATTTTCTTCTTGAGAATTAAATACTCCCATAGATGCTCCAGTACACGGGCTACTTTCAGTAACACCAACCTTAAGAATAGAAGAATCTGAAACGCATTTCGAATGTCGGTGAGATGAAAAAGTGATGGAGGTAGTAAACTCTTTCATAGGTTCTGAGGGCAGCATTTGTGATAAAGAATGAAAATTCATTTCTTTAGGTGGCATACAAGTAGGTTCATGGAATGGCATTCGAAGACTCTTGCTAATTTTGAAGTCTTCAGGTATTCGAAGTGGAGAAGGACTTTCCAAACGCAAGGAATTCCAAACTTTGAAATGGGGGTTACTCTGGTCTGGTGACTGAGAAAGGCTGATGTGCCTTGCTGTGCAGGATGATGCACTCCGATGTCCTCTGATCATTTCTGATGGTTCGGCAGATCTGAAAACACAAGGATGACTGTCCAATTGTGGCTGTTCAGCAGTAAGAGTCCGGAAACATCCTTTTTCATGGCTTTCAATAATAATGTGGCCACATACAGCTTCCGGGCTACATCCTATTCCCTGTGGACTCTGGAAACCCTGGAAAATATAAATGGGTTCTTTACTTGAAGTAGTACAAAAATTAGATACTATACAAATAAGCTTATTATCAGACCATGAAGATCATGCCATCCCCTTTATAATAAAATGGGTCAAAGAGCAAAGCAAGAAAAAGATCATTAACTATAGGGTAAAATGACTCATAACTGAACACTGTAAAGGTCCAAAATTTTCTACTGAAGTAACCAGTGCAGACTATGTATTCTTACCTTTTCTGCTACCCAAACTTCTACTAGCCACATATCAACCTTACTGGAGCCATTTCCTCTTCTTCTGCAGCTAGTTATGATAATATGACTAGGTTTATTTTAGGTCAATGGGATATGAACAAAACAGTTAAGTGCAACTTCTGCTTCCTGGTCTTAAGACTCAATTATTGACCTCCCTGTTCGCCACCACTTCCACCACCTTTACATCACCACTACTCTTGCTAGCTGAAAACAGTGATGCCTGGTACAACCTTGACAGGCATACTTAAGGACAACTCAGTTGCCCAGCCAGCGTGGGTTCTTAGACAACCTCAAGGAACAGAGCTCATCTACTCTGGAATAATGATGTCAAAGAAAAACAAAATTTTACTTACTTGAGCCATTTGATTTTTAGCTTTTTGTAATAGAAGCTTGACACTCTAGATATTACTGGCTTTTCTAAGAATAGGAAAAACAACTATTAAATTTCCCAGGAGCATAAGATCAGTGCCCAAATATACAATAAATACAAACTTTCTTTGAGGCTTCCGTGTTTTACCTATAAAGTCATTATAATCTGGCATTCTATTTGAAAATATATCTGTATTTGTTTCATGTACAACAAATCTTAAAATTATGAAGCTTCTTTCCATATGATGAAGCAGAAATACTTTCTCATATCCTTCCTGCTAAGCAGAACTTACTCTCCTGAACATTACATATGAAACAAAGATTAAAAAATCTGAAAGATACAGGAATAAAGAGCAGAATGCTTAGGGCCCCTGGGAACAGTGATGTGGTAGTGACATACCTATTGAGATACCTAAATTTTCTTTTTGTCTAATATATCTAGACCCAGGAACAGACACAGACAAAAGTCTAACAAAAACCTTCTCTTGCTAGTTAAAAAATATCAGTAAGGTGCAGCCTAGCAAGACAGAAAACTTTTACAACAATGATCTAGGCATCTACCACAGAAAAAAAAAAAAAAAACTGTAGCCTGACCTACAACTACACCAACAAAAAAATAAGAGAGAAGCCTAGTACCTAGCAAAAGTGTAGTTAGACATCCCAAAACCCAGGCCTGGGTGCTATGAGAGAAGGACAATTAGGAACCCAGGACATAATTTCCTCCCCATCACATGATAAGAAGCTACCCTTGCCCTGCCATATCAATAAAGACCATCTGGGGAGCCTGAACTTTCATTCCCACTTAGCACTAAAGAAACAGAGACCAAATCAGGTTTCCAGGGGTTAAAGAAGGTAGGGGCAGGAAAAGAGTGGATTTAGCTCTTACCTGCAGCATGAAGCATCTCAGTGTGAAATACTCACTACCTTGACTATATCAGTATCAACCTCAAGGGTGTGATATACCACTACAGTTTTGCAAGATGTTATGATTGAAGGAAATAAGAGTACACTTGATTTCCATATTATTTCTCAGAAATGCAAGTGAAGCTACAATTATTTCAAAAGAAACGTGACTTTTATAGCAAGCAACAAAATTAGTTCAATACCACTGAACAAAGTACTTCAAAAATGCCATTCTTTACACAGCCTGGGAGATAGAATGTGATAATACCAGTACTTGGGTCCCTCCCATCCATGTGGGAGACCATGACTGACTAACAGGCTCTTGGCTTCAGCCTGGCCTAGCCCTGGCCATTGTGGCCATTTGTGGAGTGAACCAGGCTCCCTCTCTCTGTGTCTGTAACTTTGCCCTTCAAACAAATAACATACATTTTGGCAGGGGGATAGGGGGAGAAGAAGAAAAAGGAGGAGGAGGAGGAGAGAAACTCTACAGATGACCTGGAGAAAATACTGGCAATTGTAGGTCTACTAAGAGTCTAAGATCTATATATACAAAGAATGCTTGAATTTAATAGCAAAAGGAAAAATTTTTAAATGGCCACAGTGGGTTAAACCACCAACTGCAATGCCAACATCCCATACCAAGTGCCAGTTCCAGTGCCAGCTGTTCTGCTTCCTGTCCAGCTTCCTGCTAATGCATCTGAGAAGGCAGCAGAAGATGGCCAAAATACTTAGACCCCTGTCACCCATCTGGAAAACCAGGGTGGACTTCCTGGCTCCTGGCATCAGCCTGATCCAGACGAGGCTGTTGTGGCCATTTGGGATTTCGGGAGTGAACCAAAAGACAGATCTCTCTCTCTCAGCCTCTCTCCCTCCTACCCTCCTTCCTGTCTTTCTCCCTCCTTCCCTTCTCCCTCTCCTTCTGTCATTCTACCTTTCAAATAAATAAATTGTCAAAGGATTTGAAGAGACATGAAGATAAAGGACATAAGAAGATGTTCAACACCATTAGTCATTAGGAGAAAATAAATAAATAACTTAATGAGTAATACTTCTCACCAAACAGAATTGCTATAATCAAAAAGACAGAAAAGAAATGTTGGATAAGGATGTGTGTGGAAAAATACATATTGTTTGTGGGAATGTAAAATGGTGTAGATGATTAGGAAAACAGTATTGCATTTCTTCAAACTGTTAAACATGGGAGTAGCCACATGTCCCAGCAAGTTCCTCCTAAGAATATGACCAAAAGAAGTAAAACATGTCACTTAGGTCCATAGGAGCACTATTCACACACGCCAAAAAGTGGAAATAACCCAAATATCTATCAACTAATGAATAAGCAAAATTATCCACACAATGGAATGTTATTAGGCAATAAAATGGAATTAAGTGCTGGTTCAGGCTACAACATAATACAGATGACTCTTGAAAACATTATGCTAAGTAAAAGGAGGCAGTCTCAAAAGATCACATATTATGATTCCATTTATGGGCAAAATACAGAATAAGTCCATTGAGAGAAAAAGTAGACCAGGGTTGCCTAGGGCTGAGTGACACAGGAGGATGATCATAGCGGCTGCTGTGTAATTTTTTAAACAAATTAAAAACCATTGAATGATAAGCTCTAAACAGCTAAAACTTATGCTATATAAATTATATTATCTTAAGGTAAAGCTGTTATGAAAGAGTTGGCTGATACATGGGCTTTTCTAATTTTCAGAGACTATTTTGTAATGAAAATTTTCCTCTGAACAGAAATGTATGTTTTACCATGCTATATTTTTTTTCCACTGATCACTGCAAATAAATGAAACTTACCTGAAAATTGATTAAGCTTTTGAAAACAACTGTTTAATTTTTTTTAAAAAAAGTTTATTGTAGCATACTCAGGAATATTCTAGAAAACTTAAGAACTGCCATGGAATTATATGGTAAGAGTAATTTTATTAGAAATTCATTATTTTGTATTTTGAGACTTCATAGCTAAAAATTTTTATAAACCAGTTAAAGTCAACTTTGGTAAGGAAAGCAATTTCTACTATTAGAACCAACAAATACACTAAGTATTCATTTAAAATGTTTTCTTAAAAAATATGAAAGCCTATTAGAGACTTAAAACCTGCACACACATTTTAAAATGTTTGTTTTGAATACATAAGTATTATGGCTGGCCATTCTTGATTAGATATATATCTGAAAACAGTCTACAACGATACAACTCAAGAGAAGATATGGGTGATATTTAATTCAAAAAAATTAAATAAGCAAATAAATTCTTAATTTTCTAAGAAGATAAAATTTTCCCAATAGATGAGATTGGAACTGATCAAAATTTTTGTAATCTACTCCTTAAATCTTAACTTTTGAAGAATTCAGATTTCTAACACTTTAGCAAAAGATTTTCAGTGACTAAGCTGGGATGACATCAGTGCCCAAGTAGGAGTCCAAATTCTATCTGTCATTCTTTTGTATTTTCTCTTTTCATTACTAGATTTCTTTATACCTTGGACAAGTCAGTTGTTCTCCCATGACCAAACAACTCTGCCTTGATCTCTTCTACTTTCCTTCTGTCGTCTTCATTTAATTCTGAAATGGAGTATCCACACTCGTGTGCTAAATTAAACTTCATATTCCAGGCTGAAGAGAAAGCATGGGAACACTTGAGAAAATAAAATGCAAAACTGATAATTTCTCAATGATTATTACAGCACTGATGATCACCAATACCTACCACAATGCTTAGTGTTTACTCACGAATACATGACAACCAATTAGAAATCCTTGAGAGCAATTTCACTGAAAAGTGATTTTTAAAAACTATACAACTCTAATAAAATCACTTTAAATTTGGTCTTCAATCACTTTTATCTTAATATTCCTTCTAATCAAAAGAGTCCCACTTTAGATCCTGCTACAGCTACTGCTACTCCCATGATGTCTGATAATTAAAAATGATAAGAACACTAGGGAGATGTTAGTAAAATCAAAATATGTATGGAAAGTATAAGAAGTTAACGTCAAGGAAAGATTCCCAAGCGGGCCTAAATCATTTACAATTGCCCCCAAAAACATATTCTCCACATTCCTTAAAGATCATTGTTTCCTTTTTAAATAGAATTCAAGTATCAGAGATTAATGGGATTAGCTAATGTTCTCTTTTAAACCTTTAACCCATGTTTCAGTGTGAAATACTTGATGAATTTCTAATATTCAAATCAGCGTCAAGAATTTTATTAGAAAAGAGGATGAGAAAATATAGTAGTTTTAGGACACAGAACAATTTAGAGCAAAGAAAACTTGAGGCTTTTTTGATCCCAAAATAAGAATATTATATTGGAAGGAAGAGAGAAACATACAAGAGCTTTGGGATCCTGGAAGCCCAAGCTACTTCCCTATCCTCTGTCAGACATCAGAATCTATTTCTCCTGAGATGCTTAACTTAGACTAGCACAGTTTATGCTAGAACTTTGCAACATTATCCATTAAATGGGATTCTCTGGACTGCTAGGGGGAAATACAATCATTCTTACAGTCCTACAGGAAAACAAATGTAGAACTCCAAACACCTAACTTCAAATAAACAATTAAATGATAATGTTTACAAGCCTGAACCCACCTTTATGATAAATCATCAAGTCTTACCTCGTGCTCGTGCTCGTACCCGACACTCTTCTTCTTCTGCATTTCTAAGTATCTCTTTAGCATGATTCAATGATGACTCACATTGCAGAAGATTTTTCACATGTGCAGCCAGCGAATCTATACTACCACCACAATCATCACTCTCTGACACACCCTCTTCCTCTCTGCTATCTTCCATGCTTGACTTAGCTGAAGCATATGGAAAGAAGTTTAGAAGAACATCAGAAACTGATTCCAAAGACTCTGGTACATTACTTTCCCATGAGCAGGAAGCATTTCCATCACTTGTATCAGTACTTGAGTCACTTTTTATAATACTCATCACAGGAATAATAATTTTCTTCCCGATGGTTCCACTATACCCTTCAGGTTCAGACCTCAAAACTGATTTGGCTGCTTCATAGTGCCTAAGAGTCTCATCTAATGCCGCTCTGGCTTTGTATTCTGCTTCCTGCAGAGGACTTCTAACTGTAGTTGAACTAATAAACTCCCAATTTTCAACGCCTCTCTGGCATTTCAAATTTGTCTGTGTGCCAGTATCCTTCAGTATGCATTTGTTGCTTGGGCTTTCCTCTCTGAATGGCTGTCTCTGAAGCAAACTGCCATCAGATATATCAGTTACGGAGGGTTCTTTGAAGCAAACTACCTTCTTAGATTGTACAAATGAAATATCACTAACATCTCTAAAAGGGACAAGGGGAGCAGAAAAATTGCATCGTTTCAATGCGAGATTTTCTGCCTCCATTAAAAGTGTCTGAATTTCTTTGAGAGTTTTGGAACTACTGTCTGTATCCCGGATTTCCTCAGAGCCAATATCCCCAAAACCTGAAAACTCTGGCTTATTTATTATAACCCTATCATCAGCCAGAGAATTTAAAGGCATATCGTTTGCGATAACACTGGAGTCAGAAGACTGCAAATTATCGATTAGCCTTTGGACATGTTCTGAAAAAACATGCTTCTCACCGTGTGAATAAGTTCCAGGGGAAACTGTAGGTAACCCAGTTATTTGATCAACTTTACCAAGACCACTTGAGACCTTCAGAGCATCTTCAGTTAGATGTCTATCTGACAAATCCTTTGGATAGAAAATACTTGGTTTCTCTCTGTGTGAAAAGGAACTAGGGGGAGTTGTTGGTAACACTGTTTTCTGGTCAGCTGGCCCAGGAACTGTTGAAAGCTTTAGTGCATCTTCAGTTAGATGTTTGTTTGGCAATTCCTGAGGGTAGACTATTCGAGGTTTCTCTCTGTGTAAATGGGAACTAGAGAGTGGTATTGGTATTCCAGCATTTACCTCAGCTGGTTCAGGAACAGTTGAAATTTTTACAGTATCTCCACTTTGATCTCTATCTGGCAACTGCTGCTGAAATAAAATACTAGGCTTTATTCTTTGAGAATAGGAACTACGAAAACTTGTCAGTAACGGAGGTTTCTGGTCATCTGGTCCAATCAAAGTTGAAACTTTAGGCTTCTCTCCATGTGAGTAGGAACTATGAGCAGTTGTTGATAATTCAGTCTTCTGATCATCTAGTACATTCACAGGTGAAATCTTGAGTTTCTCTTTGTGTTGATAGGAACTAGATGGTACTGTAGATGTCCTATTCTGATCAGCTAGTCCAGGAACAGCTGAAGCCTTCAGAGTCTCTCCAGTTACTTGACTATCTGGCAAGGCCTGTTCATGAAAGTCCTTGGACTTCTGTCTGTCAGTGTAGCTAACAGAAGGTCCTGTTGGTATCCCAGTCTTCTGGTCACTTAGTCCAGGAAGATCAAAAACATCTACAGCTTCTTTAGTAACACCTGGCAACTCCTGTTGATGAACAATACTGGATTTCTCTTTTCGTGTGTAGGAACCAGGGGATGCTATTTCTATCTTCTGATCAGCAGGTCCAGGAACCCCTACTGATTTCAGAGCTACTTCAGTCAGATCTGGCAATTGCTGCTGGTATGAATCGATGGACTGCTCTCCCTGTGAGTAAGGGGTTGAGGTCACTACAGTTTTGTGGTCAGCAGGTGCAGAAACCCCTAAAATTTTCAAAGCTGCTTCAGTGAGATCTGATAGCTCTTGCTGGTAAGAAACACTGGGCTTCTCTCTATGTGGATAGGATGCAGAGATTACCACTGGTTTACCAGTCTTGGGGTCAGTTGGTCCTGGAACAATTGAAACTTTCAGAGCCTTTTCAGTTGGATGACTATCTGGCAACTCCTGTTGGTAAGAAATAACAGGCTTTTCTCTATGTGAGTAGAAAGGTGTCCCAGTCTTCTGATCAACTGGTCCAGGAACAGCTGAAACTTTCAGAGTTTCTTTAGTTAGCTGACTGTCTGATAGTGCCTGCTGGTAGAAAATAACAGGCTTCTCTCCAAGTGAGTAGGCAGTAGAGGACACTAGAGGAGTCCCACTCTTCTGGTCTGCTGGCTCAGGAACAGCTACAATTTTCAAGGCTTCTTTAGTTAAAGGACTACCTGGTAAGGCTTGACGGTGGAAAATAATGGGTTTCTCTCCAAGAGAGTAGGAACTTGAAGGCAAGGTTGGTATGTCAGTCTTTTGTTCAGTTGGGCCTGAAACAACTAGGCCTTTCAGATCCTCTTCAGGTGGATGACTATCTGGCAAGGCCTGCTCATAGAAAATAATGGCCTTCTCTCCAAGTGAGGAGGAAGTAGAGGATACTGTTGATGTCCTCACCTTCTGGTCGGCTGGCCCAGGAGCAGCAGAAACTTTCAGGGCCTCTTCAAGTAGATGACTACCTGATACGTTCTGCTGGTAAAAAATACCAGTCTCCCCTTTATGTGAGTGGGAAGGAGAGATTACAGTTGGTATTCCAGTCTTCTGCTCAACTGATACAGGAGAAGCTGAAACATTCAGAGCCTCTTCAGGTACATGGCCATCAGGCTGTTGATAGAAAATAATGGACTTCTCTCCAAGTGAGTAGGAACTTGAAGGTACTGTTACTGTCCCAGTCTTATGGTCAGCTGATCCAGGAGCAGCTGGAACTTTCGGAGACTCTCCAGGTAAATGACTGCCTGGCAATGACTGTTGGTAGAAAACACCAGGCTTCTCTCTTTGTGAGTAGAGAGCAGAGGATGCTGTTGATATCCCTGTCCTCTGGTCGGCTTGTCGAGGAGCAGCTAAAAGTTTCAAAGACTCTTCAGTTAGGGAAGTCTCTGGCAACTTCTGTTGATAGAAAATACTGGGCTTTTCTCTCTGTGAGTAGGAAGTAGAAGTTACAGTTGGTATCCCAAATGTCTTGTCAGCTGGTCCAGGAACACCTGAAACTCTCAGAGCCTCTTCAGGTATATTACTATCTGGCAGGGTCTGTTGGTAGAAAATAACAGGTTTCTGTCTCTGTGAGTACGAACCAGAGGGTACTGTTGGAATCCCGGTATTCTGGTCAACAAGTCCAGGGACAACAGAAACCTTCAGAGGCTTTTCAGTTGGATGACTATCTGGCAATACCTGCTGATAAAAAATACTGGGCTTCTCTCTCTGTGAGTGGGAACCTGAAGATCCTGTTGGTATCCCAGTCTTTTGGTCAGCTACTCTAGCACCAACTGCAACTTTCAGAGCCTCTTTAGCCAGATGACTGTCTGACAACTCCTGTTGGTAGACAATGCCTGATTTGTCTCTATGTGAGTAGGCACTAGAGGATACTGCTGCTATTTCAGCCTTCTGCTCAGCTGACCCAAAAACAGCGGAAACTTTCAGACCTTCTTCAGGTAGATGACTATCTGGTAGGGTCTGCTGGGAGAAAAGAATGGGCTGCTTTCTATGAGAGTAGGGACTAGACAATTCAGCTGGGGATCCAGTCTTCTGGTCACCTGGCGCAGGAGCAACTGCACCTTTCAGAGCCTCCTCAGTTTTATTACTATCTGGTAACGTCTGTTGGTAGAAAATGCTAGGCTTCTCTTTATGTGAGTAGGAAGCAGAGCTTATAGTTGGTATCCCTGTCTTCTGGTCAGCTGGTCCAGAAACAGATGAAACTTTCAGAGTCTCTTCAGTCTGATGCCTGTCTGGTAAGGCCTGTGGGTAGAAAATGACAGGCTTTTCACTCCATGAGTGTATGGTTGGTATTATAGTCTTCTGGTCAGCTGGTCCATAAGCAGCTGAAAACTTCCGGGCTTCTTCAATTTGATGACTGTCTGGCAACTGTTGTTGGTGCAAAATACCAGGCTTCCCTCTCTGTGAGTAGGTGGTAGATGGTACTGTAGTTGTCCCAGTCTTCTGGTCAGCAGACCCAAGAGCAGCTGAAAACTTCCGGGCTTCTTCAATTTGATGACTGTCTGGCAACTCTTGTTGGTAGAAAATACCAGGCTTCCCTCTCTGTGAGTAGGATGTAGAGGGTACTGTTGTTGTCCCAGTCTTCTGGTCAACAGGTCCAGGAACAGCAGAAAATTTCAAAGTCCGATCAGGTACATGGCTTTCTGGCAACGCCTGTTGATAAAAAATACGAGGCTTCTCTCCATGTGAATAGGAAGTAGAGGCTACAGTTGGTGTCCCAGTCTTCCGGTCAGCTGGTCTAGCAGCTGCTGAAACACTCGGAGCCTCCTCAGTTAAATGACTCTCCGGCAGCTCTTGTTGATAGAAAACACTGGGCTCCTCTCTCTGTGAGTAGGAAGTAGAGGTTACAGTTGGTAAGCTAGTCTTCTGGTCAGCCGGCCCGGAGGCAGCAGAAACTTTCAGAGCCTCTTCAGGTAGATGACTGTCTGGCACAGTCTGTTGATAGAATGGCTTCTCTCTATAGGAGTAGGAACTAGGTTGTACTATTCCTTTCTCAGTCTTCTGGTCAGTTGGTGTAGGGGCAGCTGAAACCTTCAGAGACTCCTCAGTTAGATGACTATCTGGTAAGGCCTGCTGATAGAAAATACCAGGCTTCTCTCTCTGTGAATAGAAAGAAGAAGGTACTGCTGCTATCCCAGTCTTCTGGTCAGCTAGGACAGGAACAGCGGAAACTTTCAGGGGCTCTTCAGTTAGTTGACTATCTGTCAATGCCTTCCGGTGAAGAAGATCAGCGTGTTCACCAGCAGTAGCCTCTTGAGAATGCACAACCAACTGGGGCAAGTCCTCAGGAGATGAAGATAAACGAGATCCAATGTCTGAATCTCCAGGAGTGGTAGTAATCCCTGATTTCAAGTTGGATTGAGTGATTTCAGCTAAGCCTCCTTTAGAAGCGTCTGCTAAAGTAAAAGAGATGAGTTAATACTATATATTTTCTTTTCAATTAAAATAATTCTTTTCTATGCACTGGGGGAAAAAAGGATGCTTCATTACCTTGGGTCTTTGAGATTTTATAAATGAGCCATAAGGAAATAGTCATCAAAGGAGAAAATATTTGTATACAAAGATATTAATTATAAAGCAAACTAAAGGAAAAATAATTTAAATATTCAACAATAGAATATTTTTTTAAAATAACAGCCTGACCATTTATAGGTTATATGGATGTTAAATTTTCTTATTTTAAATTTTTATTTTAGAAGCAGAGAAACAGACCTATGGACAAGAGAGAGCTCTCATCCACTGGTTCACTCCTCAAATACTCCACTAATGACCAGTACCAGGCTAGGCCAAAGGCAGAAGCTAGCAACTTAATCCAGGTCTCCTATGTTTGTGGCAGGGACCCAACTACCTGAGCTATCGTCCCTGCCTCCTAGGTTGTGCATTCATAAATAGCTGGAATCAGGAGCAGAGCCAAGACTTGAACACTGGCACTCCAACATGGGAAAAGACTCCCAAACATTATGTTAACCACTAGGTCAAATGTCTGCCCCCATCTTAAAATTTGGGTTTATAAAGAATTTCCATGGGCCAGCACCGTGGCTCACTTGGTTAATCCTCCGCCTGTGGTACCAGCATCCCATGTGGGTGCCGGGTTCCACTCCCGGTTGCTCCTCTTCTCTCTCTCTCTCTCTCTCCTTTTTTTTTTTTTTTTTTTTTGACAGGCAGAGTGGACAGAGAGAGAGAAAGGTTTTCCTTTTCCATTGGTTCACCCCACAATGGCCGCTGCGGTCAGTGCGCTGCAGCCGGGGCACCACGCTGATCCGAAGCCAGGAGCCAGGTGCTTCCCCTGGTCTCCCATGCGGGCACAGGGACCAAGGACTTGGGCCTTCCTCCACTGCACTCCCGGGCCACAGCAGAGAGCTAGACTGGAAGAGGAGCAACCAGGACAGAATCCGGCACCCTGACCACAACTAGAACCTGGGGTGCTGGTGCTGCAGGCGGAGGATTAGCCAGCCTATTGAACCATGGCGCTGGCCCCCGGTTGCTCCTCTTCCAGCCAAGCTCTCTGCTGTGGCCCAGGAAGGCAGTGGAGGATGGCCAAAGTGCTTGGGCCCCTGCACCCACATGGGAGACCAGGAAGAAGCACTTGGCTCCTGGCTTTGGATCGGCGTAGTTCGGCCATAGCAGCCATTTGAGGGGTGAACCAATGCAAGGAAGACCTTTCTCTCTGTCTCTCTCTCTCACTGTCTAACTCTATCTGTCAAATAAAAAAAAAAAAAAGAATTTCCAATGGGGTGGGAAAATTCTGTTCAGTCTAAGAGTTAACTTCACCCTGCTTTTGGTTAATAGTTATATCATATATGCTGGCAGATACAAAAGATTTTGTAATTCATAGCATAGCAAAAGATGATCAGCTTATTTCCAAAGCTTCTTCTTGCCCTTAAGTCCCACAAGGGCAATATAATATGGCTCAGATGAACATTATGCATGCACTGGGTCTGACTGACTCTCTTAATAAGTGCAATCTGTATAACATATAGATATTCTGAGAATATGAAACTGTAAAAGACTCTCAGGATTACACTGAGGGGTTTGAACATAATATACAGTACTCAATTCTATATGTCGGCTGGCTCTGCGGCTCAATAGGCTAATCCTCCGCCTGCAGCACCAGTATCCCAGGTTCTAGTCCTGGTTGGGGCACCAGATTCTGTCCCGGTTGCTCCTCTTCCAGTCCAGCTCTCTGCTGTGACCCAGGAAGGCAGTGGAGGATGGCCCAAGTCCTTGGTCTCTGCGCCCACATGGGAGACCAGGGGAAGCACCTGGCTCCTGGCTTTGGATCAGCACGGTGCGTTGGCCGCAGCGCACCAGCCGCAGCAGCCATTGGGGGGTGAACCAACTGAAAAGTAAGACCTTTCTCTCTGCCTCTCTCTCACTGTCCACTCTGCCTGTCAAAAAAAAAAAAAAAAAATTCTACATGTCATGGGAAGTTAGTGACAGTTTTGTTAAGACCTATACTACAGAAATACAGAGTCAAGGTGAGTAGGGAAGAAAACATGAAAGTCTAGGCAGTACAATCCAAAAGAACTTTCTGCAGTAACAGAACCGTTCCCTACCTGCACTAATATAATTCTAAATTATTTATTCTAAATAAAAGTAGTTGTATATGCTAATGTAAAGTAAATGACTACAATAGAAATGACAGAATTTGACAAGTTGTGTGCTTATTCATTTGTTCATTCAAGATATGAATGTCAACTAAGTGCCAGGCACTATTCTTGATACAGGAGATGCAGCAATAAACAGATAATAATACCTACCTCAGAGTTTACATTCTTTCAGGAGGAAGCAGACAATCCTTAAGTTGGTAAAACATATATTATGCTAGATGCTGGTAAGATGGATGTTATTTCCAGCGAGTATTATCTAGGGAAACTGAGTTCCAAGGATGACTATACAATAGTGTGTCTCAATGTGGGTTATCTTATTAACCTGCAAATTCTGATTCAGCAGGGTGGGGTAGGATCTGAAAAGCTCCTGTATGGTTACAGAGTTAGTGACAAAAACTGGTACTTAAACTTTTAATTCTACCTACAAATTCTTAAATCTTCTCCCTACAACTGACTGCCCTTCTTAAGGTCAAAAGAGAAATTTAAATGTAGCTGAGTATAAAATGAAATGGATTGAGGTGTGAATTGTAAGGTAAAGTGGAAGTATCAACTCTTCAAGCAAACTAAAAGAGAAAGTAAAGGTCTAATGTGACAAGAAATATGGGTTATAAAATTTTAGTGATGAAAAGCAAAATAAGCTCAAAAAATTAATACACCAAAATGGATTAGCAAAACAGAAGCTTGTTTTTCCAAATGATTTCTTAATTTTTTGAAGTTTTTAAAACGCTTTGACAATTACAACTTATCGACATCATGAAGGGGACAAATGAGACAAATGAGATACACAGCCCCAATCCTTCACACAATACCTTAGTAGAAGGGCCTCAGAGCAAACGCAAAGTTTAGTAAAGAAAACTTGAAGAACAACTACAGGTTATGCTGCTTATAGTACAAGAGATTCATGGTGTTGAAGAAGAAATTCCTCAAAGTTCTACATAAACTCTGGATATATATGCTTTTAACCATCATAACATAGGGGCTGGCATTGCGCAACAGCAGGGTAAGCCACTATCTGCAATGCTGGCATCCATATGAATGCCAGTTCTAGTCCCAGCTGTTCTACGTCCAATCTCAGCTCCCTGCTAATGTGCCTGGGGAAGCAGCAGAAGGTGCCTTAAGTGCTTGGACTCCTGCACCTATGTGGGAAACCTGGACGGAATTCCAGGCTCCTGGCTTCAGTCTGGCCCAGCCCCAGCAATTGCAGCCATCTGGGAACTGAACCAGCAGATGGAAGATCTCTGTCTTTTTGTTTTTCCTTCTCTCTGTGCAACTTTGTCTTTCCAATAAATACATAAATCTTTTTAAAAAATCAAAACACAATAGAGATCATACATTATCATTTTTGAAATATTTATATAAATGATGATAGCATGGTTTTAAAGTGCTTATTACTCTCTCAGTACTGGGAGAGGGAAATATATATACTAATTAAAAATACTACAATATTATTATATACCTATTGAATCTTTGGTGATCTATTTTCAGAATTGGGGATGGATTTAAGAGATGAGTTGAATAGTGGAGAGACACTATCCACTCTGCCTGTCAAAAAAAAAAAAAAAAGAATAGTGGAGAGAAAGAAGGTTACCCACCAAAAGGCTACGTGATGGGGCTTAAAAAACTCATGGAAAAATGAAGCTAAAAGTTTATTTTGGGGTAAAGTAATTTGAAATCCATGGATACAAATGGTCCTCAAAAGCTCTGAAAGATGTTAATTAGGGGCCGGCGCTCTGGCTCACTAGGCTAATACTCCGCCTGCAGCGCCAGCACCCCGGGTTCTAGTCCTGGTTGCTCCTCTTCCAGTCCAGCTCTCTGCTGTGACCCAGGAAGGCAGTGGAGGATGGCCAAAGCGCTTGGGCACCTGCACCCACATGGGAGACCAGGAGGAGGCAGCTGGCTCCTGGCTTTGGATCGGCGTAGTTCAGCCGTAGCAGCCATTTGGGGGGTGAACCAACGGAAGGAAGACCTTTTTCTCTGTCTCTCTCTCTAACTCTGTCAAAAAAAAAAATGTGAATTATATAAAAAAAATACATGGATTACAACTTTGTTACACCAAAATAAACTTATCTTTTAATTCCTTTTTTTTTTTTTTTTTGACAGGCAGAGTGGACAGAGAGAGAGAGACAGAGAGAAAGGTCTTCCTTTTGCCGTTGGTTCACCCTCCAACGGCCGCCGCGGCCAGCACACTCCGGCCGGTGCACCGCGCTGATCCAATGGCAGGAGCCAGATGCTTATCCTGGTCTCCCATGGGGTGCAGGGCCCAAGCACTTGGGCCATCCTCCACCGCACTCCCTGGCCATAGCAGAGAT